TCAGCACTGTTACACTACTGGTACTGTTATGATGGCTAGATTTCTATGTGCAACTAATAATTGTCTTTTTTAATCAGTTTTTCATTATAGAGAGAGCTACCTACTTTTGTTGCAGGATTATAAACCTCTTGTATGTGATTCTTTTTAATATTATCTTTTTTCAACATCCAACCACTTTGAGGTATCTGAAACAGATACAAAAATGGATAAACATACAAAAGACACCTCCAAGAAAAATATTTTGCATAGCAGAACTTAAAAATCAGTAGAGGAAAGCTGTACAATATAATCTTGATAAGTCACTGTTTTTTTCTTACAAGCCGAGGTATTGACTTTGTAATCTTATTAATAGATTATGCAATTCCCTTCTATGGCATGATCCATTGCAACTTGGAAATTGGTATAATGTGGATGTTTTGTATCCCAAAATGAGGCATATACCTTACATATTTTAAATGAACTTTATTGTGACATAACTAATTAAAGTAATAAATTTACTGAAAGAAGGAGATTCACCCACTAATGAACATGTTTAGGGTAAACTCAAATTTTAGGCAATTAACTACCTCCAAATAAAAAATGGAAAATAACTTATATATTCCACTTCAAGGAAGAACTACAGTAATTAAGAAAAGCAAAGGTCACAATCTAGGTTAAACACACCTAACAAAATCTGTGGAGCAGAGCTCTACTTGAGAAACAAACAGTTTCTCATTCAGTCAATTTCCTGTCTTTTATGGACCATGAAGTTTCATTACCATGCACATAAGAGCTTGCCATCATTCCCTACCTAAGTCACATGAATATGTCTTTACCTTTTTTTTTCAAGTCCATTTTAATACGGTAGACCCTTGTTATTCTGCAGGTGTTGGGGGCTGCGTTGTAAGTGAAAACAATAAATGAAATGTAACCATCTTGGGAAAAATATTCACACCCATGGAATATTTAACTCTGTGGTATAAGAAGGTGGTGTATAACTAGGATCTATTGTAGGTTTAAAGATAACATATAAAACATGGAACTGATAGTCCAGAAACTAAATGTAATTGTAGAATTAGTTTATTTTACTTCTGAACAGTCCTCTAAATAGTTTAAAACTGTTATCTGAAACAAGTGACATTAAGAAAAAGGGTACAGTTATAAGAGAGATAGTAAGGTACACATATTTGCAAAGAACTTTGTAGAAAAATTAGGGCATTGTGATAACATAAACTTTCAAAAACATTTTGATATACAAATGAATACATTTATAAATTATTCTTGCCTCAATATTTAATATTCACAATTCTGATTCAATCCAAATCATGAATCAAAAAGTAACAGGTCATATTCCACAGTAATTTTATATTTAAGGAAGGCCAAAAAATAATGGCTGTCTATCTGATAAACTCACAGCACACTTCTGTGTTATCCTAGAAAGTATTTATAATAAATTAAGAGTGTATCACAGTTATGCTAACAATGTAGTTGTGGCAAGACAGTTATTTTGTTTCTATTTTTTAACAAGTGTGTAAAATATTAGCTGAAAGCACAAAGAAATAAACCTACTCAGTCATCTCTGCTTATTTCATAAAAATCATAAGTATATTAACAATTTTAGTATTATAATAAAAAAGTTATTACTAACAAAACAGTGAGGGGTGTTTATGACACACTATTCCATTTTAAGACAAGCAGTGTAGATTCTAGTGTAATACAATTTTCAGTTTACTACTCTTGTGAGGGAGGAGATTATGAATTAAGGACAGAATTCTACAGAGATAAATGAATAATTACAATGATAATTTTGAAACAAGCAGTCTCTTAGAATATTATTTACATCCCTTACAGTTTCATTTGCTAAAACATTAATACTATGGAGAGTGATCTGTTATGAAATTATGAATAATCTAGATAGAGTTTACTTGAGATACATATTTTATAGTATTTTTGTGAGATCAATATCAGTTTATTCATCAAAACAAATTTAATCTACCAGATCCTACTTTCATTAGTGTGTATATTATATGTCATAAATGCTGTCCTGCCAAACTATATGTTACATAAACCAATGGCATTGATGCAGTATCATTAACTCATATAAGAAACAAACAAGGAATATTTATTAAGCTAACATTAACCATGAAAACAATGAACTTAAAATTACTTTTTGTTGCCACTGAAACAGAATACCAGGATGCATTGTCATGTGTTTATAAATATTTTAAGTTGTAAATATTAATTGACTGTTGAGTCACATACCATTGTATGGTGAATAAATATGATGACTTGACTTCATTCATACCTTTATCAACAATCCATGCTGTCTTCTGAGTCAAATATGTGTATCAATATTACAAGACTTCAAGGCAGTTAGGTTATGCATAGACAGGCACTTAAATAGATACACTGTTAATATTTTATCATTCTTCTGGATTCTGTTAAACATCACAATTCTTTATATAGACATATATGAGTGAATTTATACTGCACTATACAGTCTCTAGAAGATGTTGTAGTTTTCAAAAATACGTTAACAGCATGAAAAATAATTTAACATACTTTCAGTACACCTGGCTGCATTGAAGTCTCATGCCTCTAAATCTAGATGACTGAAAAAATTCCTTACGAAGGAATGAGAATTGGTTGTTAAGAATGGACATTGCTGCCTTGTCATTGTGAGAACAAATAAATGCCTTGACAATTGTTTCATTTACTATTTATATGTATTTACAGCCTGCTATCATGTACTATTTGCCTCTGTGAGCCATACTTTCATCCTTTTGCCATTCTTTCACTACTCAACTATGACCATAATTGAAAGTGTAGGTTACCAAAGAGTGACAGATATTGAAGCACATACTCGGTCCAGTAGGTGAATATGACAAAAAATACACATTCATAAACAAGTATATACTTTTAAGCCTAAATATTATAAATACAAAGTTAGTCTATAAGTAAACTGGATATATGATTATGTCTAATCTTCAGACCAAGACAAAATATTTGTATACTAAATTATTTGAAAATGTGCTGCAGTAACACATGAGAACTGCATTCATGAGGAAATTAAGATCAAGCTAAATTCATGAAATGATTGCTCCCATGTATCTTAGAATCTTTTGACTTCCTATCTATCTAAAACTGTAAAGATTAAAAGACACAAAACTACATTTTTAATGTTTTATGTGTGCAGGAAACTTGGTCTCTGTATTAAAGTGAAGAACATGGACCGAGATTATTTGAGATCAGAATTTTTAGGAGGGAAGAAGTGACAGGAAGCTAGAGAAAATTGCACAGTGAGAAGTTCCATACTTTGTATAAAATATTGTTTGGATGTTTAAATGGAGGTTGAGGTGGGTGGGGCATGTAACATGCATGGGGAACTGATAAGTGCATACAAAATTTTTGTAGGAAAGCCTAAAGGAAATGGACTATTCTAAAGGTAGGATAATTTCAACAAAATTTCAGGGTGTGAACTGGATTCATATGGCTTGGGATATGTTCTAGTTTCAGGCTGTTCTGAACATGACAATAAACCTCAAAACTTAGTTTATTTTCTGTGCTCAAAGCACACCTATGGTTGAAAGTACAAATTAGAAAAGTCAAAAGAAAAATAGCACCTGGACTGTGTTTCATTCTATTGATGCTCCATGACCAACCATGAGTGATGATCGCAAAATATCAGCTCAAACAGTGTCGATGCATCTGGCAGCACAAATGTAAGAGTGTATGGTTGTATTTGTGTGATGTATGTTTTTGCATGCATGTATATATGTTCATACATACGTTAATATATGTGTGTGTGCTCGCGCGCGTGTGTGAGTGTGTATTTAATAGGGAACGGAAGAACCAAAATATGACATAAAGTGGCGCATTTGGCAGTGCACGGATAACACCTCAAAGTGCTTTCAATACCAAATAATAACTGTCTATGGAATAACGTATGAAGATGCCACACATCGTGATTTGTAAACAGCGGGCTCTATCATCCTTCCCTTCTGTGTATTCCCTGCTAACTACGGTAATAAGCTCCAAGTTGTATTTATAATCCTACGTTGGTACTGCTGTTGTGTAATCTGTGCCGCATGATAACACGCGAACAAAATTACCGGAAGGTTGTGTTTGAAAAAGGCGCTAATAGACTGACTTATTTCAAGGACTTGTATTATTCCAGATATTGGTACAGATCTAATTTTTACATTGTACACACGTTGCAATGTAATGTAAAATATTTGACACTTTTCCGCATTTTAAAATATTCTCGAAGGTAAGGACACGAGAATAGAATAGAATTTATTTACATTCCGTAGGTCCTTCATAGGCCTAAACCAATGATATAGAACATGTCATAGCACAAATACAATGCTTGTTTCTAATACAAATAGAAATTATATAGTTGTGACAGTGGTTTGCAGTCTACTACAGTATCACAGTAACTCTATTGCTTATAAGAGTTAAAAATTTTAGGTCGAGGTAAATTCTTCTGTGGAGTATGAGATAGGAAAGCCACATTGAATTTAAGGCTACCAAGAAATGTTGTGTTTTATTTGCAAGTTGTTATATTTAATTGTTAAATGTTCCTAGATAAATATATTTTCTAGTGCAGTAAGTGGCATTTATTCATGTTAATGACTGTTATACACTTCTCTACAATTACAAAGTTATAGTGATCCAAATTCTAAGGTCAAGTAAGAAATATAGAAATGGCGGTGCAATTAGCCAAATGTTGATAGTTATTTAGGAACTACTATGATATTGTTAAAGTGCATGAGGAAGGAAAGAGGAATGTACAAATTAGATTCATGTAATAAAGCACTTCATACCTTTCAAACCATTTTAATTTTATTTTGGTTAGGATATTATTTTTTGTATTGTTTTCGAAAGATATAACAGGGCCATGGATTTTTAAGACAAGATTAATTTGTTCCCAAACAATGAAATTAATCTGTAAAGACCTTTTAATGTTTGTATCCTTCAATGAGGAAGTTTATTCCTTTGTCATTTTTGTTTTGTGTTTTTGTATTATTCCAATACAGGTATCTGATTATGATGGCAGACTGCACTCCCAAAATCAGTGGTGCAGGATTAGGAATTCTCATTGAAGAAACACCAGCATACACACCAGTCCCACAAGCATCATCTACAGTAGCCCACAGGAATTATGATAGGTATCATATATGTAACATTTGTTCTAGGCCAGGTTTCATAAAAGATTGTAGATTTATGGTTGCCCAAGTCTTTTAAATCTGAGGAAAGAATGTGGATTAGGTGTGCTTGAGAACAAAGTGGTGAAAACACTAGTAGGATTTGAGGTTCTCACAGTGCTGAGTGCACAGATGCCTGTCTTTGGGTTGTAGTGTTATGTAGTCTGGTAGACATTTGTCAACGTTTTCAGAGGTCCTTGCTGCCTCCATCATCAGGACCTCTGAAATGTTGGTCATCTTCTACCAGACAACATGACACCACAACCCAGAAGATAGCCATCTATGGTGAGAAGACTGTTTAGAAACAAGAGAGATTTGCAACTGAAAGTGAGAAAAATACACAAGCAGGAGCTTATGTTTATGTTAATTTTTTCTGCCATATGAAATTGTATGTTTTTAAATGTTGGATCTGTGGTATTGTTATCAGAAATGGTTATTCATGTATTTGTGTTTTATGTGACTTCTAAAATGTACTCATAGAGATATTTGAAAATTAATTTAATACATTTAATCTTAAAATTATTTTATGAATTTCGTATAAGTTTATGTAAAAATAAAGCAGAAAGTTGGGGGTTTCCTGATTTTCCAAAGGAGGAAACTGAGGAAAATATTACATCCAGATGCAAAAGGATTACATTTTTTAAATAATTCTCCAGGTAAATATCCTCATTTTGAATGGGACAGGGGTTTACAGTCACAGATCTAGGAAGTGATTAGTCCTGCATCTACAATAGAAGTAACTTACACTCTGCTTATTTGTTTCATGGCTTTTGTCTCCTAGTGTACCTACAGTCTTACGTGAGGATTTGGAAGCAGTGTATGAAGACAACTGCATGAAAAATGCCATAGATATTTTAGGATTATGTTCAAGCAAGATGAGATATGGAAAGTCTCAGTTTTCTGAGCAGAATGAAAATTATGTTCTGGCCAAGAGCAGTGAATTTGTGTCTGCAATTGGAATATGTACAGGAGTGGGCACAGAAATTAGAGATGGTGATGCTGATTCCTCTCTTGGTATTCTGAAAGAAGATGATATGCCAGGTTAGTAATTTGACTTTTAACCATATTTTATAACTTCACATGATTCAGTATGTGGAATAGGTCGTGGTTGGTCAGAGTTATATGTACTGCTAGTTTATGAGATAAATTTGTTTGGTGGTACCAAGGGTTTTATTTTGGAATGTAAGCTTTGGCATTTGTTATAACTGAAAATTGACAGTTACACCAAAATTGTGTATTATTTCAAAGTGTATTTACCTATGTAAGCATGCCTTGATATGTGGGTGTTAAAGTTATGGATATACAGAAATTATTATTGCAGGTTTATCTGAGGATGAATTGGACAGTGGAGGAAAACTTTTAGCATCTGACAATTGTGTTAGCAAGAAAATTGTTGATGCTGAATTGTCAGACTTGGCTCTAGATATGAGACATCGATTGCAAAAGGAACTATCACAGAGGGCAATTAATAAAATTTCATTTTTATCATGTCAGTCAGAAGCTGGTAATTCGAATGAACGTCATAGTTCAAATATTGGAGACAAGTTATTTCCAAGTTCCAAAAGTTTGGAAGTGACTACAGAGTGCACTAGTTCTTTGGAACCTTCAGACATTCATAATGCACATGGACATTCTGAAGAAATAAATGAACACCAAATATGTGATAAAACAGATAATGTAGGTGATTCTCTTGTTTTTTCTGAAACATGTGGAGAAATGTTTCAGAATCCATTTGATCATTTAAAACTGGACTGTAAATTAGTTGAGAAAATGGCAGCAATGATAGATTTATCTGCTGAAGATTTCATACCTGGTGACAAATGTGAAGAGAAACTTGCAGCTGATGAATGTGCATGGAAAAAGGAAAATATCCCACCAGCTGCTGGTACTGCATCTGCAGCCATTTCAAATTTAGACTTCTCTGGTATTGTGGGGAACGCTGAAATATCGCTTCGTTCAGTGGATATTTCTCACTGTGGTCTTCAGAAGAAAAGGGTCTCTGTTGGTGAATTTTTTCGTCTTAAATCAGAACTGCTTGGTGAACTGGGAAAAAAGTCTAATACTTATTTTGGAATGCAAACTAAGAGTCCAGAGAAAGGTCATGAACTTTCACCATTGGTAGAGGTTGAATTGGATGAAGATGCTGCTCAGGAACAATCTATCAGTGATCAAGACTGTACAAAACAGATAGCGAGAACATGCAAAACACCTTCCTTTTCTGAAGGAAGAATTTCTTCATCATATTTATCGGAATATAGTATTGGCCCACGAGAGTCTCTAAGTCTCTCTTGCATTGCTGATATTCTGGCAAAGGTTGATACATGCGCATCACCACGTACAGTTGTTTCAAATATTCTGAAGCAAAGTGGTCTGTGCAATCCAAAAGGAACCTGTCCAGTAGATAAGCCAATTACTTCATACAATAGCAGCTCTGTTACTGATCCTCTCTGTGCTAAAGATGGATTATTGAAGGACACTTCTGAATTTTTTGATGCTAACATTGATTCCCAGAAGGAAGATATGTCTAGTTTGTCTCATTCCAAAAATGGTACAGCAGCTGGTATGATCAAAGAATTTGACTTTGGTAGAAAAGATATTCTTAATGAACAGAAAGCATTGTCAGATACTGTGATACACCTCTTGGACTATAGTGACAGGCAGGGGAGGTTATCTGGCCCAAATCTGATGAGTTCATCTTGTGATGAAGATGACTCAACACTAAATGAAACAGGTAGTGATGGTTGGGTATTTTCAGTGCCAAATACCAGTGTAGGGGTAGACTTTAAAACATGTCGGAAGAGTGATGTTGCTCAAATTTTGAATGAGGAAGATAAAAATAATGATAAGACTATCACACTTGAGGATAGTGTTTCCATTGGAGATGTTCTTAAACTTACAACTTTGTTGGAAAATTCGCTCTTGGATGAATCTGTCATGTGTGTAACTCAGGAACTTGCCAGTATGCCAAGAGAGTCTGTTGACTGTTCTGCTTTGGTGCCAGCATTGAAAAATAAATACCCTGAACTTTTGCCACAACTGTCTGAGCTCGACATGAAAAACAGTGAAAGTGTTGATAAACGTGAGTGGTATTTAGCAGTTCATTCTGTTGAATCTGACCTCAGTACATCCAACACCCTTACTGAAAGCAAGACACTTGTACAGTCCATGATGTCATCTCAAATGGCCATTTCAGGTAAAAGTATATTTAGTTGAACCAAAATATCTCAACTATCTATTAAATTTGCCCTGTATTGTTAATGATTTTTATGTATTGCATAATTATCAAAATCAGACATTTATACAGTAACCCTTTTACAAATTGAACAGTTCCACTGCACAGAATGACAAGCTGTGTATTGTGGACACAAAATAAAGATTCATGACTGCATTACTTGTTGCTTCATTACAAAGGAAGTGACTAAAGGTGTTTACTTTGGGGAAGTTGTTGAACTGCTTCTGAATAATCATGTTTGTTCCTGATAATTGTATTCTTGTTACTTTTTAAGCAAATCGAACATAACAGGGAAGTGCTGGTATGTTAAAGTATTACAGTGGCTAAAAACTGTGACAGTTCACATAGATTGTTATAAAAGAAGTATATTGCAGCTTGGATTGAGTTTCTCGTGTAATTTATTCAGTAATTATTCTAATGTTTATTTGCTTTCAGAAGTGTTTGAAAACAAGTGGGTTACCTTAAGAACACACAGCCCAACTCCTGTTGTGTGCGTTGGGGTTCCATATGACATGTTCTTATCAGTACACAATGTGACAGATCATTGGATACTATGTGGCTTAGAGTTAGATGGCATAAAACTAATAGGACAGGAACATGGCAAAAATGTTCAATTTGCTCTTGTCCACCTTCCATCTAAGAAAGTTCTTATGGATCCCAATAACTGTAAAGAAGCCAAGGTAAAAGAAAGATATTTATATACAAAATTCTGCGTGTTGATTTGAGATGCTACAAATTTTGATTTAATAAGCCTTATGCATGTATTAAGCAGGTTGTTGTAATTGTAATGTCTGACTCTGGCTTTGGTAAGTACTCAGATTCTAGTTGGTAACAGACTGCCGTGATGTTTTTGTACTTTTCTTGGTCCCCCTGAGAAATGTCAGAATGGTACAAAAAAGTAGGACAATGAATCATTTACAGCCCATCCTGTTTATCTTGTGCGTACAGCATATCATTTCATTTGATGCTATATATTCTTAGTAGTTGGTACAGCTTCACAAAATGACCAGCCTATCTGTTTTTTGCAGGCAATACAACTTGTAAGGATCTGTTCTTAAATATTACATATCTGTACCGCATTTTACACATAATCAATATGTTTCTAACCGTTTAACAACATTAATTATTTTAATGTACTGGTTGCATTTTAAAACTTGGGATTGGGATGATTAATGTATAACATAAGTTAGTTTCAGCACTTCCAGTTGGGTCCAGGTTACCTGAAGATGGTTGATATATGCTGTAAACTTTGTTAATGCTTGTGTTATTAGCATTAATAAATAATCAGTTGTAAGAAGATTAGGAAGTGTGTTATTGTTTGTGTGTTTACAGATCACAATTAGAGTTTATGCATGCATTGATGAATTTAAGTATAAATTGGAAGAACTGTGGCTTATTACCCTTCCAGAAAGATTATTGAAAATTGTGAGAAACCCAGAATAGATAGTTGAGTGTTCACAGTGTTGCTATGCACTGCAGATCTGAGTTGGTGTGCTAGTTAGGTCTTAACAAGTGATAGAGCAATATACAAGCTTAATGAACATACTATGCTATATCCAATTAACAATGGTATTTGCATTAATTTCTCTTTCTTTAACAGATAAAAGTGGTGCCTCTATGTGAAGGGAAATTAAAAATTTCACTTAAAGTTCACTTGAATGATGTGGTGACGAAGGCAAGCCAGTCAATTACCTGTGATGTCGTTATAATAGGAGAAGAGCCACAGGTAATGTGCTTATTTGTTATATGTCTAAAGAAGACAGTGAAATATTTTTTACACAATTTTAGAATATATAGAATGTTGTTGCCATGTCTGTGTAATAGGAAAAGAGCCCCATGAAATATGTTATTTTTTAATTTGAAAGAAATAATTTATTGTTGGGGATACTCATGAAGACGTACATGTAACTTGTTGGAGTTAACATAGAATATGAACCAACATATTATCCTTTGGCAGGTTTTTTGTAAATTTAAATTTGGCCTTTTTCTGACATGGAAAAGTAAGTTTCTTGTAAATATACTGTGTCAAATTTTATGACTTAAATTGCCTTGGCTTTTATGGGACAGTTCCTTTCTCTCAGGGTCATAATTTGGTTGCCTGTATCAAATAGTAAATGGTTTATTTTCTTTAAATTGTGCTGGTAAAACAATAATTTTGCTCTTTTACTCTCCAACATATTGTTTGAAAGGGAAGTGTAAAACAGAACCCCAGAATTCAAATTCATGGCACTTTTCTAGAATTTTCAGTTTTTCTGGGAGTGGACTAGACGTCTAACTCACTTAATATATTTGCATGCTTTTATTACATAGACTGGTTGTTTGTGCTGGCAGACTAATGTATTACATGTTTTTTTACAAACATTTCAGATTATAATAACAAAGAATGATAGTTCTGACATGATTCTGGACTTTGGTGTACTTCCAGAAGAATGTGCAAAAAAGATGAGTTTGAAATTCTGCAACTCTGGTTCTGCCACCATTCCACTTAAACTCATTATTTTTCACAAGGTAATTTTTGTCTTTCTTTATTAAAATATTGGATATAACATCTTTTCCATAGAAGCCTAGTTGTTTCAATTTTTTTTTATTTCAGTAGCCCTTGAATCTAGATATGAATAATGTTGTACATAGCTAGTCATGTCAGTTGTAATAATGCATATTTCATAGAATCAAAGTAAGGACTGTTCACTAAGTATTTAGTGAAGTGCTAGCCAAAGTTAGAAAAATGGATTGAAATACCTTAAAAGTTGTGTTCTCTGTGATAACTTTTAATCTATAAGCATATGAAAGTTTATTCAATGTGAATATTTAATTCATGTTAAGCTTTTGGGGATAGAATAAACTTTTAATGGTGGACTGTAAATTAAAATTCTTTTACCAAATGAAAGCCTTGACTTTCATCTTGAAGACTATGCAAGTTTGTAAGTTTAATTCATGTGATGTATATCACTCTGCCTTGTTGGCTATAATTCATTGGTATTCTGACATATTACAGATTTATTAGTGCATGTTTATTGCAAATTAACTTAGATTCTGTTGGTTCTGTAAAAATGTTTATAATTGAATTTTGTAATGATAAAATTAGCTGCCCTTACTGTGTATTTCAGAGTTATAAATATTTAATAAAACTAAAAATGTTATTTCTGACCATTTTCCTGTTTTAATTTTACTATAATTATTGCAGCTTTGTCAGTAAATTATACTATGAAACTTTGTAGGTCCAAGACTCGCTTTCCACTTTTGTTCTCTTGGACCCCAAGAAACAGAAGAATAAGAATATGGCTGAAAATGAAGTTTCAAGGGAACTGTCATTCACTTTGAAGACTGGAGAAGATATGAATGTGACAGTCATGTTTGCAGCTCCACCAATGCAGTTTCTAACTAGTGAGTTCCATCTCTGAAATTCAGTGTGATGATAAATATGTTTCTGCAACCAAGACAGTCATAAGAAATCTTGAAATGGCAAACCTCCCCCACACAAAATCTGAAAAAAAAAGATGCAAGCCATTGGTTTTAAATAAAATGTTTTCAAATAAGCTTAAGATGTTTGGCCACTCTAGGTTGTGTACCAGATATATTTCTGAGCATCCATGTCTTAAAATGTATTTTTAATTTTAATTTTTACCCTCTTCTCTTCAAGTATTACTGCTCTGGTTTGACAGCCTGTTGTTGTTTTTATTTAAATGCTTCAGTTTTTATTGAAGTAAATTGTCTACACACCAAATTTTATTTTATATTTGTATTCTAAATGACAAACAGCCATAAGGTATCTGTATTAATGATGACTGTGTAATTCCTGTGTGAACAGAACAGAGAGGATTTGTGAAACTGTCTGGAGTACTGTCCCTAAACCTGACTGGTATCATACCAGTTGAATTGGAGAGTCTCAACTTAATTGGTGCTGTTGGTACAACGAAGTTGGGAATGTTCCGTCCAGCCATGCCAATGAAGCTGGTGATCAAAGGGCCTGGGAAGACTGACATTTGTGGCTTACCATTGAGGAATCATGGTCTTGTTCCTTTAACACTTGCCCTGCAGATATTACCATCAGACACTGATTCCATATCAATGAGTGTTGTTCCTGATATGGTTCAGTTACAGCCTGGAGAACAGGTGGAACCCATCGTCAGGTTTAGCTCATCCAGATCTATGAAAGAGCCTGTGCACAGGTAATACCTATAATTAAGAATGAAATGACACAAAGCTTATTTTAGTTAGCAATCCATACCTTCTGGAAATTCTTATTTTCAACATTTTATTCCATATAAATTTCCAAAATTCTTGGTCTGAGTTGTCATGAAATGTGTTTTATTTTCTTTGGCCATAAATAGTAAAGTTTTAAATAATATTGTACAGTGAAACCTCGATGCATCGTTTTCGGCGGGGGTGGGAAATAAAAACGATGAATGCGGGAAAACGATAGATGCGGGAAAGCATTAAAAATTTTAAAAAAAACAATGTTTCTCTTTCAAAGTTACTTCTTTTTACCAAAAAAGTCTTTAATGGACAACTGGTTTGTTGAAACTTTACGTTTTAGACCAAACAGAGCACTTTCCACGTTCAAAATGTTTTCTTCGTCACGTTCACTAATATTAAGCGCATAAAAGAACGACTTCACTTTCACCAATGCAGCGTGTACTTCGGCAAAACTCGGCAAAGCTTCGGGCTCGCATTCGTCGTCTCCCTCTTCCTCACCACTCCAACCCCCTTTGCGGACAATAACAGGAAGAATGGAAATACTATTACTGCCGAAC